CACCATCATCATCACCATCACCACCATCATCATCACCATCATCATCATCATCACCATCACCACCATCACCATCATCATCACCATCACCATCATCATCACCATCACCACCATCATCATCACCACCACCATCACCATCACCACCATCATCAACATGTTTATTTACTCATTGATTCAATAATCAAAAACTTCTACAGTTTTATCTAATCTTATGAAAATTTTGTTTAGCATCAACTCCTCGACATTTTGAAAATGCTAACAAAGTGAAAATAGGGTCCAAGAGAAGACACAGTGGAACGCCAACGCAGTATGATAATGAATCAAAGAAAGGAAAGCAGGCTGAGCACAAAATAAATAAACAAAAAAGGAAAAAGATAAAAGAAAAAGATACTCAGTTTACGTCCCACAATGAGGTATGCCAACATAGGGATTACTAAATCTAGTCTTTCTCTTTAACTTCATATGGGCCGAACCTAATAACATCAAAGAAGACTGCCTTGTTATCTATTGTTTAAATTAGGTTCGGCTCGTTTGACGTTTGACCTGAGTCTAATATCACTTTCACACTTACTGTTGTTGTTTATTATTTGTAGCGCATTGTTGAACTTGTTCACGATGATGAAGTATACGGCAATGATTATCAGACCTGTCGACAAAAAAAGACAAAAAACAAGAAGGTACATTATGCAAGTAATATTAGGTTGTTTATTTGCAGGGTGCGCCTAAATAGACCTCTCTGTAGCTCAGCCGTAATGTTTTCCTTATTCAGACCATTCTCGTACCCAAAGCCTTTTCAGCTTTCTAACGAAAAACCAAATTCGAAAAAAAATCGATTTTTCGTTGAGATGAGTCTGGGTACGAGAATGATTTCAGACCTTATGTCATTCCCTAGAGAATAAGATACTTAGTTCGAGTATCCATTGTCATGTGTCTTCTCATGTGCAACCGTTAAACAAAGAAATGATACTCTAGGGAATGAAATGTGGTCTGAAATGGGAAAACATTACGTCCAAGGTAAAGAGGTCTATTACCGTGTGGACATTCTAACAAAGTTAGAAGAACATTTTTACAAAGTTAAACAATCACAATGTAGAGTAAAATCAAAGAAATTGAACGTTATTCAAATCAATGAGGAGCTAGCAACGCAGTCTAGATCTGATTACATATATATGTATGAATGTTAACAACTGTGGGAATGAAAGATTGTGATTGGCTGGAGTCATGGTTTTTTCCCTCTCCTGATTGGCTACTGTTACTGTACATTGCGATTGAGTAACTTGAGTAACGATTGAGTATTTTTTTWAAAATATTTTATTTAGCTTTYACCTCACATCAAATCATAGTTTAAAAAAATGAAAAATATAAACAAATTACAAGCAGATGAGAGGTAAGGGATACCGTCACAGGTTTCCCCAATTACGACGGTCCCTTAGTGTGGTCCAAGCTAGAACTTGTCAAAATGTGGCATAACAAATACGTTTCCATGACATACCTTCAAAATTACTCCATATTTCACTTTTTTTAGTTCAATAAGCAAAGAGAACCGCTACCCGACGCGTTCACAAGAATGGTTGAAGACTGGGAAGAGATGAATACATCTCGCCACTCGTCTGCAGCCTACAACCGTCCTCAATCACAAGGTTCATCACATCGCCAGAACAAAAAGTTCAAAGAGGATAAGCGTTCGTCACAAGAATACAACAGGAAACCTTTCAACAGTTCACGAGGTTTTCGATCTAAATGGAAGTGAATAATCACCGTATTGTATATATGAATATATATATACACACTTGATTGCAAAATGATTGTAGCATACACTTACACAAATATCTAATGAGATGCAAGATATCAAATGAGATGCAAAACTTTAAAAAAGTAACTTATTTGGTCTTACTTATCTTCTATTGTATCAAAGACATAAGTATTGCACAGACTCACGTTTGAAAATATATTTCCACAAAATGTCGTGGTTAAGCAATCGTATTTAAGCATGTTTTACATTCTGCATCTCATTAGATATCTTGCATCCCACTAGATATTCGTATAAATGTATACCACAAACTTTCTGCAATCAAGTGTATATATAAAATTTTGCAATTTTTTAAAAGAATTTAGAGGCTTTATAAATTTTACACCTTTACGAATGGGGTACCCAGAGTTCCAAAGGTTCTCTCTCCAGAAGCACTGGAGGGAGAGAGTATTTGGCAAAAAGGATATAACTTTGAATACCCACACACGTCTCCTCCAATACGAAATAGTGAACACAGAAGCACTGCCAATAAAGAAGACTCTTCTGTTTTATTAGTATTGCTGGATTTCAAGGCTGCCATGTTGTTTTAACTTGCTTCAATAGATTTTTTCTTTATTATTTTTGTTATTAGAAATAACAACATCGCAGCTATTTCTTGTTATTTTATTCGAATTCACTTAAAAATGATTGCAAGCAACCTATTAACTCAGTCTTTTGAATTTGCCTTACAAGACTCCAAAAGGGTGTGGCTAGCCACTCGATACACTCTTCAGTTGGTAACTAAATCAACCTAATTAGTAACAATTGCATACTTATATGAATATACTTATTTCAATAAAGTTAGTCACCAAAAACCTAGAAAGCTGCGATCGCTGAGAATCATAGGGAAATGTCTTGTATCCAACAAGTAATGCTTTTGACACAAACTGCAGCAGTTGAGGATACTCAGAGGAGGTTAACTTGTAACTGGTAGAAGATCTCAAGTCCATCAACAGTTATCAAGCGGTTGAAACACGTAAAATGTATCTACCCGTAATCCTTGTCGGTCTCAGCTTTGTAGCTTTTTAGGTGACTAACTTTATTGAAATAAGTGTATAGTAATGTAAATGGACGCTACTTCTATCGGATATTCGAGATGATATTAACAATAATTATGGTGGTTTAAAAATACTTTTTCTATATAAAAAAATCAAGAATTGTTTTTGTAAGAACCAAAGACCATTTAAAATTTTGTTTCATTTTAGCATAATTTTCTGAATGTCGAAACGAACACTACAGTCTTCTTTAATTCCACCTTTTGGAGGAACTCAAGATCAGCTCCACTTTCTGCTACTTCAACCCTACCCTAAAAGAGTACCAAACATTCTCGTACCCAAACCCTTCTCAGCTTTCTAACAATATCTTTGTTTTTTTGCTGAGAAGGGTCTGGGTACGAGAACGAGTTCCAAACTGTGACATCAGCAAATCCCAAATTCTACATACTACAAAAAAAAAAAAAAAAAAAAAAAAAAAAAAAAAAAAAAAAAAAAAAAAAAAAAAAAAGAAGAAACAAAACAAAACAATGCCGGCATTTCTGAAAACTTTAAGGCTGTTGCGAGCTATAGAAATGATAACATTGGGCATTTAATTATGGTCCATAAAATTTACATACATTTTCTTTTTTGCACTGGATCCAATCATTTTTGACCCAGTACTAAATGCGAGTGAAATGTATGGGGTTCTCTGTTTTGCGCTCTTACGCTTTAAAATTCCGCAACTATATCATATATTTACATGCAATTTCTGATTAAAGGATTGGTAATAATTGATTAACTAGTCTCCGACGCAACCTTTATTAGGCCCGTGAGGATCTGGGACGGAAACTAATGACGGTCGTGGAGGAGACTATTGATTAGCGTGCTTCCATCGATTTTTGGTCGCACCCCTCGCACGCTAAGGCCCCGTCCACACGTATCCTGAAATTTTTGTATCCGGACGGGGATATTTTATGGACGGGGCCTAAATAACTAATCAGAGCGCGCGTTATATCGTGGCTAAATTATAAAATATGTCACCGAAATTCTAAAGTTCTTAAAAAATAAATTCACAACAACCGACTTCGGTACTTTTGTTGTGAAAATAAACTGATTCCCAAGTAAATGAGAACATTTTGGCTAAATATTGTAAATTCTAGTCGCATTGGTACAAAATATTTTGATCTTGTCATCATCAGAAAGATGTGATATTGCTTGCAGGCAGGACTCGTAAACCACATTGTATGAATCGGTAGCTAAGTAACAAACGGGCCAATCAGAGCCATACAAACAGCGATCCACTCCAAATACTGACAGCACATGCTGGAATTAAATGAAATCGACGCATTTGATTAGTYAAAGATCGTGTGACCAGATTATTTTGATACAACTATATCACGTTATCGTCTCCTATATAGGACCATGGAGATCGCCTTGTTATAAGACCTTTCTAATACCACCGTCCACACCGATGCGTTTTGGAAACTCCGTTTTCATCTCGCCGAAAACGATTTGAAAGCTTTGCGTTAAAACAAGCGTTTTCAAAAAAGAGCGAAGATGATGCAGTTATTTGCGCATCAAGAAAGAGAGTGGTAGTAAAGCAGAGTGGTAGTTGCACAGCTTGAAGAAATAAGTAATATATTTCGTCGAGCATGCGCATAAAGAACCAGGGTCTAGGAAACAATCTCGTATCCAGAGCCTGTGTTTCTCTTGGTCTTTCCTCGGTGTCGACCAAGAGAAACGCAGGCTCGGGGAAAGAGATTGAATAAGTGTGAATACAACGGCTTTTCTAAAAGCCTCTRTTTTCACTGTCCACACTAAAAAATACGATAGGCCTCCGTTTTCAAATGTTTATAAATGTATGTCAAAACGTATCGAAAAGTATGCACTTTCAAACCAAACTGTTTAGTGTAGACGGGGCAGCAAAACATGTTTGAGCGGCCACACTGGTACTCTCCTAACGCTATTAGTGTCGTCACGCCACTCTCACTACCCTACTTAGACACTCAATAGCGGCTGGTAGGTGACAACCACACTGACAGAAAATTCGTATCTACAGTGTTCCATAATGTATGTACGCCCTCCTGTTACCGGATCGTAATACTCCATCTTACAGTTCCCGTTCAGTGACACTTAGCAAAACTGTAATTCTTATTCTGCGCGGGAACTCCAACCTCAGATTGGAACTATTATTCGTGGTCATTGAACGGAAATGTAAAAAGGGGTATTACGCGAATGCCTCTCTTTTATATTAAATACGGGACTTGTGTGTTTGAAAAGTCGCATTCGTAAAACGAGGGTGACCCTGGATTGTGTTACCGAGCTACGAGATACAACAGAATGGCGAGGCTTGGCTACGTCTGCATACCTTCACAAATGGAATAATGTCATTTACAGTCCATTTATCGTGATCGGCTTCTGTAATCATTCCTGAACTGTCACATGAAAGAAAATGAAAAAATTAGTCTATCTAGAAGCTGAACGCTCTTAAAACGAAGCGAAATTAATGCCAAAAAATGCTGGTTCCGGACCTAAACTCGGATTCTCCGAGCCTTTCATTCCCTGTGTATGACAAAACAGGGGCGTAGGGAGAGGGRGCCAAGGGGTCTAGCCCCCCCCCCCCCCCTCCCCTCCTCCTCTGCCTTTGGTGGAAACAAAATGGCAGCTTTTAGAATTCATACGTTAATCTTCAAATTTGTTTTCTATTTTCGTAAAATGTAAACATAAAACATGTTCTTTTTTTGCTTCGGCGTTTAGGGCGCTCAAACAAAATGGCGAATTTTTGAATTTGGGCTTTTTGAACGTGAATGGACCATGCAAGGAATGGGGAAGGTACCCTGCAAACAGAGTCTCCTTTTAACTCCTCTATGGGCGTAGAGGAGGTAAAAGGAGACTCTGCTCGCAGGGTATGGGGAAAGGGACAAGAATGGTGACCATTACATGACAAAAAGTCTTACCGAGGCCAGGCGATTATCTTGCCCCAGTATTTTAGTACCTTTCAGTATTCACTCCATGTGAAATGAAAAGTTGAATGGTAAAGTGTTTCTTGATTTAAGTGTTTCGTCTTAAGCCAAATTATATTGAAAGTTACAAACTAATTCACACTGTGTAAATATGAGGGTTGATATGCACTAAAAGTATACTTACATTTTACAACAAACATTTGGGCATTTAGCCAATTCTGCAATGCCTGCTTTCCATTCCTCAACGCATTGGCCACCCTTGATGTCTGGTTTGGCAATGTGATCCACTATGAATGTTAACCTGTTAATAATGGAATGAAAATGAATACTAATTATGGAAAATAAGAGGATGCAAGATTCATAGTTCTGACCAACCAACAGTAGACATATAAGGTGGATGCAATCAGGGACCATGGACCATAGCTTTGGGGAGAGGGGAGGAGGGTGGTGCTAATCTGGTGGGTCCGGGGGAAAATGATCCCGTTCACTAAAAAATTGATAATGATTTTCTGTGCACATTTCTTTAGGTGCTGCATTGCATTGCACTAAATCATTTTTAAGATGTGTGTTTGGGTGTATTTGTGGGGCAAGCAATGAAAGTAACCTTAGAAACTGAGACAATTTAATGATGTTATCATTTTGACAACATCATCAGGTCAGTTAGGAATGATTGCAAACATGATGACTGTTATGAAACAACAATTATTGTTAGGAAATAATTAGCTTAAAGACTTACTTTGGAAATTTACTGACAACTTCCTTGGCTAGTTTAAAGTGTCTCTCCCTAAACACACAAATTAACACTCACTGTTAGCACCATTCATAATTGTACACAATTCTTTGTTTTCTATTGTTTTTTTTTCAATGGTACAGGGGCTTATCCAGGATTTTTTCTAGAGCACTATTTTGTCTGCACTATCCAGGATTTTCGTTTTATGAGGGGATATACAGAAACACCCTTTGCTTACCAACTCAAACACCAATAACGCAGTAGAATAAGCTTATTTGTTGAGGGGGGGGGGGTGCACTACTCCCCTGCACCCTTCCCCTAGATCCGCTTCTGTGGTACTAGAGTGATTTTACTTAACATGTGAAAAAATAGTAATAATTATTTCTGCCAAATCAAAAATTTACCTTATCAATAAGTCATAGGTTAGCCCTCTCTTTTCTAGCATGCCTGGTTAAATCAAAAATAATAATTAAGGATGTGACTGATATTCCCAGAGCTATCTGCATCTGATAACCAAACTATTTGTTGCTGTGCTGTGCTATTTTTTGCTGAATTGCCCATTTTCCAGATGTGGTAATGCTTTGTGGTGCACCCTTCTTAAACCTTGTTTTGTATCTGGTAAATGCAGTTTGGGACATGCAGAAAAAATGCAAATGCAAAAAACTTCAAGAACTGCTGCAATTATGACACTTATAAAACTAATGAATAATTAATGAGGAAAACACAATAGAAATCATTGTCCGTGGAGTAGGTTGTATATCTGACACAAAATCGTCCTGATTTGCATAAACTTTAACTCCAATTTTCTTAGCCAAATTCAATTTTATCTTTAAAATGATAGTAGAACATGAATGCATACACCTAGATGTTTCATAAGTAATATACAATATTCGTGTCTGTGTTGTATCAGATATACAATCACTCACCTTCGGCTTGTGGTTGTATATCTGATACAACACGGCCACTCATATTGTATATATTACATAACGTGTCTTGAACCAGTCATAAGATAAAAATGATGAAGGGGGCAAAATAATGGCCAGGTCATCTGACCATAACTGGCCAAAACTTAGGCCTCTGATCTTGACTAGCGACTCATGGCTGGCCATTGTTTTAAATTATGAAAAATAATACAATATTTACCAAGTCCTCTTTGAACCTCTTGACGAGCCAGCCAATCATCTGGCTCTGCTTCAACTATGTGCCGAACACCCTTAAACTTGGGGTGTTTTTGATACTTCTCTAAAATACTATCCAGCTGAAGAAACATAGTGAGTTTGATAAGTCAACAATTCCTGCACTACAATATAAATAATGAGTTTAAAATAAAACTGAGTTTATTGCCTAAATATAGCTACTGCAAGTAAATCAGTGGCACAGTTCAGGGGATCAAATATATAACCATATTAATTCTCAGCCATGCTAAATGTCATTGAACAAAAGAGAAAGACTTCTCGATCATTAGCGTCCATGCACTGCTACCACCATTAACAATACTGCCAGAATGTCTTTACCCTTTGAGTCTCTATGGACCATTATCACATGGCAGCCATATTTATTCTCATGAAAATAAACTTCATTCTCAAGCTCTTGAATGCAAGGCTATCCATGGTGCTATCTATTGTTCAAACTATAGCATGCAATGGCTGCCACATGAAAAATAAAGGCCCACTTAATTGGAAATTCATGCTTCTAAACCATCAAAGTTCTTTGTGCTTTAATGTTATATTTTCACTGTACTAATATATCTTTTATATTCTTATAATTGTTTTGTTTATTTTGTGTGTTATATATTGTTAGTATATGTACCTACATGAGGATCTTGTAAATCCACCCAGCCAACCACTCCAACCAATGTATTGTTGGTCTTCGCTACATCTAATATCAGATCTGAATATAAACACATCAAATATACAATCAGGCAATTATAAAAACAGGGCCAAACCATCCTGCTTTGGCTAAATCAATTTGTAACACAGGACTCGAAATAGAAAAAATTTTAAGGAAACAATTTTACTGTAAAAGTACTAAAAGGAAAACAGTAAAGCAATTCAAGTGATCAGCTTGGTATAATTTTGCTTGCCATTTTATCTTCCACTTGGCATTCAAAATATTTTTGTTATAAGTAATTATACATATTTGGCCTAGTGCATTTCCAAACTATATTAGCAGCCTGGGGGGGGGGGGGGGGGGTACTCCCTTATATTTACTATACAGGGACATTCTGCCAAATAGGGTATGGTTTTTTGCCTTCACGTCTTGAATAGGGTATACAATTTACCATAAGTTGTCTTGAATAGGGGTATACTTTCTATGTTTACTATGTCTAGAGCACGTAAGTGGAGAATGAGTGCTTGATGTTTTGCTTACTAGGAATAAAATGTAACAGAAAAAAAATACGCACAATTCATTTACGATGGTTCTAGAATAATCATAGTTGAATGTCTTACATAGGGTCTACATTTTGCCAATTTGTCTTGAATAGGGTATGGATTTTCAAGAATTTACCGTCTTAAATAGGGTCAGGGTTTATAGGCACCAGCGGAACCCCCCCCCTGTCAGAAACTGGATCAAGTACCCCCCCCCCCGGGATTAGCAGCCTGCTATATTTAGACCAATGTAGTGAATGGAAGATTTAGAAATTTGTTCAAGGTTTTAATTATTCAAAAGCTGAGAGTACTAGTAGTGGGGGGGGGGGGAGAGATCAAGGGCAAGAGAAAAGAGGGGGGACTCGGGGAAAAAAGTACCTGGGATGCTCGTCGTATCTCTTAGGGGTAAAAATTCGTGATTTGGTATCTTTTAGGGTGTTAAATGCAAATTTTTGAAAACAAGCATTTTCTGGTATCTCTTAGGGTGTCGGAAAAGGAGAGAAGTGTGCATTGGTATGGCTTATCCTAGGTGCTTTTATTTTAATATTATTTGTTGTGGTATCTCTTAGGGGTTAAAAATCATTCAGCCACGCCCTTTTTTAAAGATTTCCGGTATCTTATAGGGGTCTTTTTTAAAATTTCCGACAAGCATTCCCGGTACTTTTTTCCCAGAGTCCCCCCCCCCCCGGGAATGGGGATATTTCAAACCCTCAATATTTTGCCTCAATTTCCAGAATATAATGAACCACTTTAAATAACCCTTTTACTCGGAATAGTTACTAAGACTGGTATCAATTAAATGTGGTTTTCAGTGTCAAAATATTCACGAATATCAACAATGGCTTTACCTGTTTCTACATAAGTCTGATTCACTTGCACAAACAAAGCTTGCCTTACTGGACTACACTTCATTGCTTCCTCTAAGTCATGAACAAAGAATGGCTTGCAGATCTTTTTAAGCTCAGGCGGTGGAAATGGGTATTCATAGGTCTCATTATCCCAAAGATCTACAATAAAAGGAAATGAAAATGAATGAATTTTTGAGCTGGTGAAAAATGGGGCCAATTGACAGGCTTCACTAAATTTCATTTCCTGTCCGCATGTGGCCGGAATGTAATTAATGGAGCGGACTCTACTCCATTAACTTGGTCACAATTGAATAAATTGCAGTGTTAAAGATAATTATATTGATATATCAAAATCTGGAATTTCACGTGAACAGTTTAGCTCTAACAGAATTATTTTATTGACTGTTAATTCGACCTGTATTTCTTGAGATATGAAGAACCTTTGTTATCAAATAGAGTACGTTGTGGATCTTTACATACTAGAACTTGCCCTAGCTTGTCACGGCGTAAAATTAATATGATCGTTAATAATTATAAAAATAACAGTCGTGCTTGTTACTTACGAATATGACAATCTAGTATGTCACTACGAGAAGACACAGCCATTTTCTAATCTTGATCGAGCCCGGTGGCAAAGTAGTCTCCCCCACAGCCGCTTTCAGTGTCGTCACGCAACGCTTTCTCCCCTGACTAGGGGAGAAAGCGTTGCGTGACGACACTGAAAGCGGCTGTGGGGGAGACTAGGTGGCAAAGATGGATTACAAAAATATTGCTGGTTTTATTTGACGTCACTTCCTGTCTCGTGCCGATCGAATGTTCATGAGTTGAATCGCAAGTTTGCAATATAATTCTTTCTAGCTGACAGCACATGGTAGTCAGTGTTTGACCACCATTTGAAGCAGATAATGAGATAAGTTTCAAAGACTTTTTTCAGTTGACTGAAACCCATACCAACAGAAACCCATACCATTCCCGCTCACTGGGGTAGCTGTGGTATACTATGCCACTAAGAGTCTGGGTTCAGTAGATCACGTGCTAACGGGCTGGCGAGAATTTCCTCAAGTTTGTGATATCTTGGGATTTGATCTATAATACCAATCTGTTCATATTTGCTCTAGCTTCAAACGCAGGCATCCTGAAATTGAGGGGTCGTCACTCAACTTTTTCCGAAGGGCCTCGGTTAAAGCGATTCTTGTGTCGTTGCTTGTCTAATATTAGTCCACTTGTGTCCTGTACAAAAGTATAAAAAAAACTGAGAAAAAGAGAAAAGATGGGGATAATACAAGGAAGAAAAGTGGTTGCAAGTGCATGTACTAGTTTCATGAAATTCTGAATTTTTAAACCAGACGACTGTTTGATTTTTTATTGGCTTTTTCTTTCACGAGGGGAAAACTGAGAAAGTTGTACGTTAGAGCTCCATATTTATTTACATTAATATTTAAACAGGATGCCTTCTTCACTATGATGATTTTCAAGAAGGTCCTGTAAAACTAACATTATGTAACAAAATTGAGTTATGAAAAAAAATTGATGAGACGAAATACAAATTGATAAACGCATAAAATTATATGTTTTGGAAAGTTTCAAAGAAATTGGATTTAAACTGAGAAATCTTAGAGCATCGTTTGATATCACTGTTATAAAATAACTGTTAAATGTCGCGCTGATTGGTTGAGAGCGCGTGCTTTATGAGAGCACACTTTACGCTCGTGCACTTCCAGTTTCGTCATTCCTGTAATTTGTATTTTATAAAAGAAATAAAAAACTTGTTTGCTGTGCTGTGTGCAGTTATAAAGCACTTGGGGATTGACAGAACACTCGAGAAGTGTTGAGAAGCACGTGCTTCGTGCTTCTCCTAACACTTTTCCCGCGCGTGTTCTGCTAACCCCCGCGTGCTTTATAACTGCACATAGCACGCGCGCGCGTTTTCTATTTCTTCATTAGATTGTTGTATTTCTTTCATGGCTTGATAAGATGTCCTTTGTTTCCCCCAGTTTGTTTTAACACTTGGCAAACGAAACTCATTTCCATTTCTTGTGTTATAACCATGCACATTTAGCTTGGTCAACTTGAGATCTGACAACAAGAAATTGCTCTTACATTTGAAAACAACGATGTCTACGTTGAGAGAGCTCTTTCCAGTTGAGTACCTGACGTGCATCAGTTGTTGAGGACAGTAGAGGATGATCCAGGATGATCTTGGCGGCCCGGTTGTGCAAAGTCTGAAGTGATTTCATCAACGTGATGTTGTCTTTATCTCTCCACAAAGTAATCAAATTAAAGAGCGGTAGAACTAAGCTATTGAAGACGGTACATTAGCTTAGCAAACTGTGGTAAAAGATGTTTGATTCGCTTCAGAAGACCCCGGGGGGGGGGGGGTACTCTTGCCTGTTTAGGGTAGGGATATGCCGATTAGCCCTCTGAACCCTGACCCTATTCCAGAGTAAAATCGCTGAAATTCATACTCTGTTCCAGAGCAAGATCGCTGAAAACCGTACCCTGTTCCGGTAGTGCGAAAATAGATACCCTGTTCCAGAGAGGAGAGAGCGTGATTCCATATACCTTGTCCCAGAGCGAGCGCGATTTTATATACCCTGTTCCAGAGTAGAATCGCTGAAAACCATACCCTGTTTGGCGGCACGTACCCGTATAGCGAATATAGGGGAGTACCCTCTCCACCCTCCCGGGCAGAAGACCAAGGCGTTTGTTAATTTTGGTTAACTGTTTTTCGATGTGAGCTGACCAAAACATGTTACTAGAAAAAAACACACCAAGGTACTTATATTCATCCACTCTTTCAACCTTTTTCTCAGTGTAATTGGATGGATGTGGTTGGTTTAAGATGTTGTTAGTTTTCCTCTTACTACCAAACAGCATGAATGTTTATGCTATCTTGAATGATTGCATTCAATGATCTAAAATCTTGAACCCTTTTGTTGATGATATGTTCTGAAGGCGATGGATCATAATTTTTTAGATTTATATAATATGGCAATAGTATTTACTCCCATTCCATGTAATAGCGAGGTAACCAGGATTCTAGAACTATCTTCCCCAATTAACGTGATCGATATGGTCATCTGCCAGTTCTTTTGCCTGTATAATGGGCTGCCACCACAACAGCGAGGCGCCAAGCTGGTATAACAAATTTAATTTGTAGCTAGCCACTGTGAAAATTATAGGGGGGGGGGGGGAATCAACTTATTTGAAACAGTTATCATTACTCTTGCAACCGAAACTTCACATGTCGCGAACAAATTAATATATTTCAGGACGAAATTGCGCCATGTAACCCGTCAAACTGAGTTGTCTGACGCCGTTACAATCTGACAAGTTTCATTTATCAAATGCGGCCAAAATTTATTGAATGCGTATTTGAGATACAAAGCCGTGTACTTTGGGAGAGGTGATATTTTGATCAGCAGAAAAACTGACATTTTCGTGAATACCAAGTAGATATTTACTCAAATAATTCGACAAAATTTCGTCACAAGTTTCGAGCAGCAGTGACACAAATGAAATTTGGAGTATTAAACTAAGCTAAATAAAAAAATCATGAAAGTAGCGGGCTCGTCGTTTTTCTACCCTGTCCTATCCTATAGTACTGTCAAAAATTATACTGATTATCGAGGATTTTGGAATTCAACCCTATCCTAGTTCCAGATCGATGTTTTGGTTTCTTTTTTTTTTTTTTGCCGGAGAGTTTACAAGAACGTTCTCTATGAGCTTATGGTGGTAGAGAACGTACATGTAAAGAATCTGTAAAAGGCCTCTTATATAAACCCTATATAAAGTCTAGCGTCCATTTTTAAAGCTTTATGAGGCTCGAAATGCGCTTGCGCGAAAATTTTGAGGTGCGATATTTCTTGTGCCTGGAAAAGGTTGAATATGTTGATTCAGAAAGATCCATTAACCAGGGTCTGATCCAGGGGGAGGGTTGTGTGGGTTGCATCCCCCGGATCGATTTTCTTAAAACAGAATGTACTGTTCGTTTTTAAGTAGTTATTACTCGGGCTTTCTAAGAAATGACCGAGGTATAAATTGGGCTTTATTTGCGTTCTGTCACAAATCGCAGTTGCGTTCAAAGCGCATGCGCAAGTTCTATGCGCGTGCGTAGTATGCGCCACATAAGCACATGGTCGAGCAATGGCGGAATTTTTCAAGGTTTCGTCAGAAGGACGACAGTGTTCTTGAATAATTCTTTCGATTTTCTGCTATGAAGCCCGAGTACACGCAGATATGCGTCTAGTTTCATATTTAGTTCGGCGTCTTCTTTTACAGGTGGATGCCCCTTGAACGTAGAACCCTCTCTTTAAGAAAATCCGGGATCCGTCCCTGTTAGCTAATTCCTTTAGTCGATTTGAGATAAATCAATCAATAGTTTATTTCGCACCAAAGTTAAAATTTTGTAATTTACAGTATATTAAAGAGAAAGGTTTGGTGGTGCTGGGGTGGCTCAAATAGTATAAACTAATCAAAGTCAGGCAACCCAGTTACAAGGAACAATCTTAAGTGCACTTTACCATATGGCGATGTTGGAGCACTGTAATATTGGATGGTTAATACAGGGCCGTAACCAGAACTCTTACAGGGAGGGTGCACATCGAATAAAATCGGACCATTGATCGTCTTTTTTAAGAAAGCAGAACCAAAAAAAAAAAAAAAAAGGAGATGGATGAGGGTGCACGTGCACCCTGTGCTCCCCCCTAGTTACGGCCCTGTAATAACCACTCGCAATTTCGTTCCAAATCACATCTCCAATCACCTACAAATTCAAACCCATTTATCTCGATGTATTCCATGCTTTGTCCCTACGTCTTATTCTTTCAGACTGATGATTGTTTTACTGAACATCGATCATATTCCGGCAAAAAGCATCATGCTGACTTCCAATTTTCAATTTTATGTGGCTTGTTAAACCACGGGAGCGTACTTAAATGTAAGTTCAAATTTGGAACTCAAATTGGAATTGAAAATTACCGGGGCCTGAGTTATGTTTACGGTTTCCACGCGTATAAAAGATAGAGAGTTTTAGATTGACTTTTTGTCTCCCCGCAAACGGCAAACGTGACCACGTTTTCGTCGTTTTCGTGTACTTTACTTTACCTTTTACAAACCTTCTCGCCAAAGACAAATATTCTATTGTTTTTCTACTACTTGGACTTTTTTGCGATTCTTTTTAAGCTATTTAAAATAATTTTTCACTGGTCAACTGACGTTTCACGTTTGCCGTGAACGTAAATCTAAGACTCTCTATTCACTGAAACTTGACGTTTCGCCGACGGACATAACACTACTTAGTCTGGTGGAAGGCCATTGTCAAATCTAGAATGATATAGAGGACACTAATATCTAAAAACAGATGTTCTAGCGATGTGTGTAGCAAGACAATTTAAACAAAGAGCAAGGGATTCCAAATTGGAATTGCTATTAAGAAACAAAGAAAAAATAAATAAAACAGATTTAATTTTACCTTTTTCCCTAATTACACACTAAAATCTAATTCAATCTGTGAGTTAGCCGTGCCCTGACGTTAACTCAGCCCAAAGGTTGTTTCAGGGTTCGATCTGTGAGTTARCCGTGCCCTGACTTAGATCAGCCCAGAGGTTGTTTCAGGGAACTCAATAAATTTTAGGTTTGAAGGTTTTTTGTAGAAGTGAAAGGAGTAATTTTGGTATCGGCTCCTGGCGAGAACTGTTTAATTCCCTGCTAAGATATTTTCTTTTCTTTTTCAAACTCTATCGTACATCTATTTTGCTTAAATTGACAAAAAGAGATTTAAAAACTGATTGGTTTTTGGGTAGCCAATCACATTGGCTTATAAACAAGACAACCAATCAAAATAAAGGTATTTTTTGGTCCAACCAATCGGATTACGCCCAGTTAAGTAATGAAAATGCTCCCAGCAGGAAATTAGRTTGTTTCTTATATCTACACTGATGACCGGTGGTAAATGCTTATTGATTCTCAACTTAGAAAACCAGTTAAAAGATCGACAAGCAAAGGTAACTTTTCGCGATATTTTCATTTACCATTAATCAATACTCAATAGCCGAAGCATACTTATACCTTAGTCTTATTATCATTTATGATTGCAATATTTAACGTTTTTAATTTTTCAAAAAAATGGCCGCAAGGTTGTTCATAGGCAAAGGACACTATAAATCGTCAGAGGTTTAAAGATTTTTCATGATTAAATTACGTACAGAAAAAGGGAATTTAACAATGGCATTTCTTCCGAGTATAGCTCTTTCTTTGTCCACTGAAATTCCAGTTGGAATTTAAAAGTTAATTTTTGCGGAGTGAGGAAAAAAAAAGTCCTCGAAGTACTGGAGAGAACCAACAAAGATACTCTATACTCACACACAACATCTAGTCCGTGAATGAGTACACACCTTTCTAAAGTTAAAATAAGCAAATAAGAAATTGTCACCGACTTTTTAGCATCAGATTGATAGAATGATGCGTCGTGCAGGCAACGCCCACGAACGTTCTTAGACCATATAACATATTTAATTATTGAACTATCGGTAATGGGACACTTAAAAACTGTTCTATTGGAGTTTTCTCATTCGGCGCCCTTTAAATAATGTTGCAAAACACCTCTTTCGTTCGTTAATTTGTTCGGCTAATAATGATTCCAAAAGGTATATTGCTTATATTATTGAATATCCTATGTAGTTTAATGGCGAAATGTGCAATCAACGTTTCTGTACGCCCAGTAGTTTGCACTGCACGATCAATTTTATCTATAATAAATAAATTATTCTATGAAGGTGCACGAAATTCGTGCATTCATTACTGTCTAATACTGGAGTCCAAATTTAGGTACTTCTAATCGATTTTACTCATACATAGTTTGGGGAATGTTGATTGTTTAATTTGACTCGCTCGTTCGTGGACTCGCTTGCTCTTTCGCGATGTTATGGAAATTCGTAAACAATAACGATAGCAAGCTAGCTCTTAACATATGAGAATCTCTATTCATTTTCACTTGAATCTTTTAATATGTTTTTCTCATACACGATAGGGGAAATGTTGGTTGGTTGTTTAATTTGATGCACGGTTTCTTCCCGGAGCTGTCCCACGGTGTATAATAGCTTTATTTTATATTTTGATTTAAAAAAATGAAATTAAAAATTCTATTATATTATATGGTATCGCGATTCTCAATTCTCGCGATTTGATCGAGAGAGAGCCCAAGGGCGGATCCAGGGGGAAGGGGGAAAGGGGCGCGACCCCCCTGTCATTCCTGAGGTCAAATGGGCTTCNCCCCTTCAGCAGAAAAAACGATGCTTTTTTATATTGTTTTCCGTTGTGTTGACGGAAGAAACTCAATTAGCCCCTCCTAAACTCAATTAGCTCCCCCCCTAAAATTTTGGCTGGATCCGTCTTTGGAGCCGTCAATATGTATAGGAAATTGCACGATATCGAGTACAATTCGAAATTTATATACAGGTACGAGGGATGTTTTGAAAGTTTTTAAAATTGACGAGCCTTCAAGATCTGAGGCGAGTTCAATTTGAGAACTTTCAAAACATCATGAGTATCTATAACTTCCGAATTGTACGAGAAGATTGTTCGAATTTTTGTTTTTAATACACTCAACAAAATTGAGCAACTTAATTGGGACTCTACAGAGTACAATTTGGGATTTAATTGATTTAATTGTAAATCCGAATCGAGTAATTTTGTCGAGTGTATGTATATTATAAAACGTGGTATAGAGGCTTTGCACCATCACGTGATGGCAGCCATGACAGGAGGCATAACAATAGAGTCTTTTCCCCTGGAAAACTGAATTCTTTCTAATGTATATCAGATTAGACCAGAATCAATTGTTCCTGCCCACTGGCCTGGGTTGAAAGCCATTTCAGGTTAGAACCTTTTTTTTTTCTTTAGCTGTCATTTCATTTTGAAACCTCGCCAAAATTGTCATGGCCACATAACTTAAGCTTAACTTAACATAAGCCAAGTCCAATTTGGCAGTCAGAGGAATTTTCCTCGTCCACCTCGTCCACCTCGTCCGCTCGATTACTCGCAGCTTGATAAATATTCCCCGATAGTCACTTCGCCTTTGGCGAATAATTGTTAATTATTCAAAGTTTCTGATTACTTTTATGATTTCAGATTATTTTGACCAAGAAAAATGAATAACACAACGTCAAGAAATCCTATCAAGACCAATGACACAAACATCTCTGGTCATGACCCATTCTATCGTACCCAAGTAGCCATCATCGCCCAAACCGCGTCACTAGCAGTGCTTGGAGTCATCATTGTCCTTGGCAACCTAGCCTCCATCATCACCTTCGTTAAGACCCAGTCCCTTCGCAGACGATGTCACTATCTTATCATCTGTCTGGCTGTATCAGATCTTCTCGTTGGTGTGGTCGATTTCATGTCTGCGTACTTCTTTTGGACCGGTCCACAGTGGAATACGTTCCTTGTTGTGCTCGAGTTCATGGACACACTGACCGGAATAGCGTCTGTTATGACGTTATCAAATATAGCCATTGAACGTTTCTATGCTATCTTTTATCCATTTCGGCATCGCAGGCTACGATTCAGAGTGTATGTTGCATTGTGTGCCTTCCCTTGGATAACAGCAACCTATATTTCTGCTCTGTACATTACTTCAGTATATTACAGCACATCCATTCTCAAGATATATACTTACCACACGTTTTCTGTCGCATCAATCGCTTTACTGGTTATTCTGTGTTCTTACATCACTATTGGTGTAAAACTGAGAAACAATAACCCAAGCGCTCAAAACCAAAATCGTCCTTCTCGTGACCAAAAGCTGGCGGTTACGCTACTAATAGTGACCCTTGCTTCTATGTTGACTTGGTTACCTTTGCAGTGCTTTCTGGTCGTTCTGTATTTCTGCCTCTCTTGTCCTCTACCTCATTTCAACCTTCTGTTTGTCATGAAGTTTTTACAGTTCTGTAACTCCGGAATCAATGTGTTTATCTACATCGTGAGGATGCCTGAATTCCGAAGCGCATTCCTGGTACTTTTCTGCGGAAAGAGTGAGCAAAATAATAGGGCCCAGGAAAGCACTCGAATGACGTCCACTGCGTCGGTAATTAACAACGGATTTGTCGGAAATCAGAATGGAAGTGGAAATACTTGCCGAAATAGAAGTACCGCTGGTCCCAAGAACAACAGCAACCTGCCTTCGCATGCGCATAACAACCTACAGAAACTGCAGCCAGAAAGCCCTTATCAGTTCACCAATAGCAGCGCCCAAAATGATGGAGCAAGAACCCATAGCTCCAATAGCAATCCAACCAACCAGAACCCCAGGAACTGCAACACCGAAAATCAAAATGCCAAAGAAAGTGAGTCATGCAACATCAAGCAAATATACTTGACAAAGGAGGGTGACAGCTTATTGGATCAATCAGGATACCAACAAGGCGTTACTAATAACGCATGTGAGACTGAAGCGAGTGGAATTGAAGACTCTCGGCTTTGAAGGTTTATGTACATGTAGTAGCTACTAATATTATTTATAAAGCATATTTAGGCCTGCTTTGCGTTTACAACTTTCTCTTGTTTTGTTTTTTTATCGCTGATTCGTTTCGTATACAGCTATTTCAAAAAAAGGTTGGTAAAGGTTTTGTTGCATGTTTAATACCAATCCCGAAATGTAGTATTTGCGATGAGAATACCATCAGCGAAGGATCAAAACGATATGAAGTTTTCCCTCTAATTGTATCATCACTCTATAATCCCATTATAAGCAACTATTGTATCATTTTCAAATTCTCTTTCCTGTCCA